GCCATCAGCCTCTGAAGTAGTGCAGCCCATGCCTCAGTCACCCTGTGTTTCCCACCACTGTTATATCTGTGGATGGGTTTACTGTCTGGATCTCTCCATCAGAGTGTCAGTTCCATCTGGGCAGAAACCTTTGCTTTTTTCCTTGTTGTTTCCCAGGGCCAGGACAATGTCTGGCAATTAGTAGGTTAAGATGTGTTGGCTCATTAACTAACTGAAGCTGACCCGTTGTCTGCCAGTGTCCTCTGATGTGCCCACCCATTCTGGCAGCACCAAAAACCTTTTTCTGCTTGCCACCTTCAGCTGAGACTTAGTCTTCATTTCCAGTACCTTCTGAGTCCTGCTTTCCCAGGGGACAAAGGAGAAAGCGAGTTTACTGGGTAAGGCCTCTCTCTTCCTCTGGGTGGGGTCATCTCTCACAGCGATGAGTCACTCTTGGCAATACCTGGAATATACTCCCCAAGATCTGCTCCTCACTCGGTTCCTTCCTCAAATGTCACCTCCTCAGAGAAGTCCTCCCTGACTGCCCTCCATTGCTTTCTATTCCCTTACCAGGAGGTATTTTCTTCTTATCACCACTTATAACTTGATTTTTAAATTTGCCTACCTGTTTGTTGTCTCCCTGTCTAGACTATAAGCTCCAAATTCACTGCACATCCCTGGCACCTAGGACTGTGGCTAAAACAAAGCAGATGTGTAATCATTTTTGTATGAGTGAAGAATGGAACGTCTGTATGAATGAATGTATGAATGAATGAATGAATGAATGAATGAACGAACAAATAGATCTGCTGGGAGAGGCCCAAATAGGGGAGGATGATTATGTTGGATGAGAAATATCCTCTTCTGGCAGAAACCCCCTATGGTTAATAGTCATATTAATATTGGAAGCTTGATTTGTCCCTAGCTCACTCTAAACAGCTTGGTGCTGCCTTCTACATGTATTGATTTACTGAGTCCTCACTGCCACCCAAGGAGGCAGCTACTGTTAGTGTCTCCATTCAATCAAAGTGAGAACTGAGACAGAGAGAACTCAGGTCACGTGCCCAGGGTCACCCAGCTGGCGAGTAGTGAAGTAGGCAGTCTGCCTGCTGAGGCTGTGCCCTTAGCCTCGCCCTGTAGACAGGTGAACCATGGCTATAAGACAGCAGGACACTATCTTCCACACGTCTCCCAAGCCTGCCCATGGCTTTTGACTTCTGCTCCTCCTCCTGGCCTCTCCTTGAACCTGGGTCAGGCCTTGACGTTTCCCAGCCCGCTTAGTAGGACAGTGGGACGACACACATCTCCCCCACTGCTCCTGAGCACTGCTTATGTCCCAGTCTAGCGACCGGGCCAGCATTTTTGGAAACCCACCTGAAGGACCAAGGTCAGGGGTAGTCTGAATAGACTGGGTGACTTTGGACATGGCCTTGGTCATCCTAGGCCAGAGGGACTAGTTGAGTTTCAAGGGCTCCCACAATATGTGGCTGTGGGTCTGGGGTGGGCACTGGAGCTGCCCAGCAGCTGTGGGAGGCTGACACACTCCTGCCCCTGGGGGCAGAGCTGAGAGTCCCTGGGTCGACGCCCCACCCTCAAGATTTTCCAAAGAACAGGCTCTCAGGGTGAAGGGTCACCTTTATGTATACCTGTAGCCCAGGGCCTAGAGTTCAGAGAGTTAGGGTGCCTGTTCGCCTCCCAGGGAAGAACTTTCAAAGTTCAACGTGACATGGACTTGAAGAAACCCAACGGCAGCTTCTGCACCACTTTTATGACCCTGGGAGACAGAAGTGTTTGAGTTACGGTGCACTTAAATTCACCTCAGACCTTTCTGATTCACCGGGGAGGTAGGGTTTGCAATTTCGTAATAAAGACCAGGTCAGAAAGTGGAGCCAAGGTAGCGGTAAAGATTGTTATGGCCCATGTGGCATGCACCAATGTGGGTCCCACGGCTTAAAGCTGATGCTATCTTTGGCTTTAGAGTACAGAGAGCAAAAACCATGATTCAGTTTAAAGTTTCTTGGGTACCAACCAGGTTCACTTTGCCCTAAGTGAAATTTTGAAACCTTAAAATGTAGTCCAGGATGACTTAACCTTCTGAGCCTAATTTCCTCTCCTGACAGTGGGGATAACGGGACCTACTTTAGAAGGTGACCTGAGGATTATATACGATGCGATAATTCACAACCTACGTATAGGACCTAGAGTAACTAGAATAACTTATAAAGATTACCAACTATAAATAAACCAGCCCAACCTGAGATGGCCAAATTTGGGGTCTTAGAGCACTGATTCTCAACCAGGCCTGTTTTTGACACCCCTCCACCCCCTGCCCAAGGAATTTTGGCAATGTATGGAGACATTTTTGGTTGTTATAATTCAGGAAGTGCTACTGGCATCTAGTGAATAGACACCATGGATGCTGCTTAACATCCTACAGTACACAGGATGCCCCACAACAAAAGAATGATCCAGCCCCAAAAGTCAATAGTGCTGAGGCTGAGAAACCCGGGTTAGAGTTAGCTCAGAGTCAGTTTAACCTTCCACACACAAAAGACTTATTTTTTTCAGTTGTGTGGGCAAAGAGCTTTGTGGGTTGTTACTGGAAGAGGAGAAGAAAATAATTAACACACAAAATATTCCACCCGGCTGCCGAGATGGCATCATTTTGTGACTAAGATCCCAGTGCTGTCAGTAAAAGTCAACCTTCCAGGAAGTTCTGAGAAATGCAGATTTTCATATTGATTTCCTAGGCTGCTTTCATGGCTAATCACCCTACCTCACAGCCAGAGAGAAATCCTGCAGCCCTGAGAGCCTCCTCCTCTGTTGGGTGTCCCTACCCAGCAATCTCTGTAGAAGATGGTTTACCCCTAAATTTCATACACACTACCCTGCTGGTATCTAAGCTCGTGTTTTAAAAAAAGGCCATCCATCCATCCTTCTATCTAGTCATAATTCCATCCATCCGTCTATATATGCATGCATGCATCCATGCAGCCATCATTCTTCTATCCATTCATCCTTTCACCCATGCGTCCGTCCATCCGTCCATCCATCCACCCACCCAACACTAAATGCCCTCCATGTGCCCATCAGTGTTGGAGATGCTGGGATACAATGGTGAACAATTCAGACAAGGGCCCTGCCCCTACGGAGTTTTGTGGGAAAGGACTTGAACACATGACATAACCTTCTCTGCGCCATTCCAAGACCTCCAGTGGATGCCTCCCACCGTGGACTATATAGTACAATAACTGAGCCCTCTATATGCTCTATATTTTCCTATATGTACATAGCTATGACGAAGTTTAATTTATAAATTAGGCACAGTAAGAGATTAACAATAAGCAATAATAAAATAGAACAATTATAGACTATACTGTAATAAAAGTTATGTGAATGTGGTCTCTCTCTCTCTCTTTCTCTCTCTGATAAATAATTTGACAACTGAGATGGCTATTCTGTGACTAATGGGAGGGTAGCGTGTACAGTGTGCATACACTGAACAAAGGTATGATTCATGTACTGGGCCAGACAGGGCAGGACTGTGAGATTTCATCATGCTACTCAGAACAGTGTGCAATTTAAAACGTATCCATTGTTTATTTCTGGAATTTTCCGTTTAATATTTTCGACCCACGGTTCACCGCAGGTAACTGAAACCAGAGAATAAAACACAGGTAAGGGGGAGATGGCTGTAAATAAGTTAGAGCTCTCTAGATGAGGACACCCTGCACAATGTCCTGATAGGAGACACGATGAGGAGAGGAAAGGGAGGAAGAGGAGAAAGCCATGGAAGATGAAGGCAGGGATTGGAGTGATGTAGCCATAAGCTAAGGACTGCCTGGAGCTATCAGCAGCCGAAAGAGGCTTGAAGGATTCTCGCCTACAGCCTTCAGAGGGAGTGAGACCCCGCTGACACCTTGCTTTCAGACTTCTGGTCTTCAGACCTGGGAGCGAGTAAGTTCCTGTTGCTTTGAGCCACCCATCTATGGTCATTTGTGACGACGGCCCTAGGAAATGAATGCAGTGGGATCCTGCACTGCCACTTACGGAGCAATCTTGGGGAAATTGCTTAACCTCTCTGAGCTGACTTCCTCATCCACAAAACGGAGCATTAGGATCCATTTCATCAATTCATTCAACAGTTTTTATGGAGTGTGCTCATGGGCAGGTGCTGTGTTAGGCACCGGAAGTGCGTGGTGAAGAAAATCAGGCACGGGTTCTGCCCGCATGGAGCTTACGGTCAGGAGGGGAAGCCAGTTACCAAGCAAAGAAGCATGTAACTAGGAATTCACCTGCAACCATGGCTGACAGGGTGCTGGGGGAGTGATGCCTGAGTGGAGGCAGGAGGGAGGGGTAGAAAGTACCTGGGCAAGAGGAGCAGGAATTTCTCCAGCCAGGGGAAGGGCATGTGCAAAGATGCCATGGCGCCCAAAGCAGGGCGCACTGGAGGCGGCCATCGTGGGAAGGGGGGACAGGGAGGGCAGTGAGGGGTGGGGTGGGGGAGGGGCCGGCCCACCAGGAAGGGCTGGCCTTTTTCCTGAGTGCAGCAGGAGTGGCCGTGAGTGTGGATGGGTATGGATGGAGCCAGGAGGCAGTGTGGTCAGATATGTGCCGGGAAAGGTCATCCGGGTTGCAGGGCGGAGGACGAACCGCGGGCCAGAGTGGCTACAGGGGACCAGTGGGGAGACCCCTGCTGTCATCCAGGAGGGGGCTGATGGTAGCTCAGACCAGGGTGGGAGGTGGAGACGGGGAAGGGGCCAGATTCAAGAGCTACTTAGAAGATAAAACCACAGGGCACTGTGAGGAATAAATGAAATAACGGCTAAGAAGCACCCCACAGTGCTTGGCACGAATGAAGTGCTCACCAGGGCCCCAAGAATACAGGATTCCCTTTCCTTTCTTGTACTAAAAACACCCCGGGGGACCAGGCCACCGCTGGCAACACCCATCTCCGGCTTTACTGGCCGAGGGCAAAGAGGATATCCACAATTTACAGAACCAAAGAAAAATCAACTCACCATCCTTGAGTGAGAAGCTCAGCAGGTCCTGGGGGAAAAGGAACAGGAAGTGGCAATAAGTTGATATGGAATCAGCCTCGCTCATCTCACAAATATTTATTGACTCTTACTAAGTGGGAGAACAAGACAGACAAAAAAGCTCTGTGTTATAGTCTAGTTGTGAGCCAGACAAATAAGGAAGCAAATAAATAAATGTGTGGGAATTTCAGGGAGTGAAACGAAGGGGAAGGGCTGCTTTAAATCTGTTTACTGGGCCCATCAAACAGCTTGTGTCATAAGCTGCCTGCTTTAACTGCACACAGAGCAGGCAAGTGACGTGCCCAAGGGCACGCACCAAAGCTGCTGCTTCTGAAAAGAGAGGCAGCAGAGCTTGGTACCCAGGAACACGGACTCTGGAGTCAGACTGCCAAGGTTCAAATCTGGGCTCAGCCGCTTATCAGCTGCATGACCTTGAACAAGTTACTTAACCTCTCTGTGCCTCAGTTTTCTCATCTATAAAATGAGGATGATCATACTACCTAGCTCATCAAGTTGCTCTGAGAATTAAATGAGTTAGTATTTGTAACGGTGCTAGCACATAATAAACACTATTTAAGCTCTAAATTAAATCAATAGTCAATAATGACAATTCAACATTAGCTATGATCATTATATGATATGATGACGAAATAGTGTATCTTTCAACTACCCAACCCCACTAGAAGTGATTTTCAGGCTGACTGTGAAAGGAAGTATCGTGTTCTAGTTTCCTTGGAAACCGCCACCCGGGTGGTGGGTGTACCTGAGTGATCACCAACGGGTTATCCTTCAAGATGGGGTCCTTCAATAAAAGCTGAGCAAACATGTCCGCTCCTTCGCCTCCTAGGCCGCTGGCGAAAGCAGTCATGGTTGGCAAGACAGCTTCGGACAACCCAAGCCACTTCACCAGGCCCGTCACAAACTCTGTGCAGAAGGGGCTGAAACACAGACACGACTGAGATTCCAAAGCTTCCTGGATAGTGCATCTCACAGGGCCGTGGGGAAGTTCCGATTAGACCTGTTCATGGATGCGAAGTTGGCACATACAAAAAAGGTGATTGTGGTCCATGGAGTACAGATAGCCAAAAACCTAATTTCAGGTGGTGGGGATTTTAGCTCTCCCCCAGCCCCACAACCTTTGACCAAAGAGGCTGATAAACCACAGGAGCGAGGGCAGTGAGAAGCTCCTGACCACGTGTCCTGGGCTTGCCTGAGCAGGGGCTGTGCTGGGGGCTGAGGGATCACAGCTGAGTGAGGTGCAGCCTCCGATGAGAAGCTCACAGCAGATGGAGACAGGGATGGAACTAACTGTATACTAAGACAGAGGCAGGAATCGAGCCCTGATGAGTCCCGAGAGGGAGCCCCCAGGTCGGCCTGTAGAAGTGAGGGGCAGTGACTAGAAGAGGCTTCCCATAGGAGGAGATCCGCTGCTGTTGGAAGTCTCCGAGGACGTGCTTTCTGGGGAAAGGTTGCCACACTGTGCAAGTGGATAGAGTGGGGGAAGAGTCCTCCCACCATGCCCACTGCCACCGTGGGGTCTCTCTCCACAGCAGGCATTTGACTTGAGTCCCACAGGAGTCCCTGGGTGGGGGATGTCTGGGTGCTTCAAGGCAGAAGGAACCCCAGGAGCCGAGACAGCTGCAGGAAGCACATGGCATTTCGGGGACCGTGGCAGAGTCCACAGCAGGCTTTCCTTCAAAGCTACCATTAGTGGCAGTGAGAGTGGTAAGTGGGGTGGTGGGTGGGCAAGGGGATGTAGAGTTAGGTGGTGATCAAAACAGCCCAGAGAAAGGGCCGAGACCTAGAAGTCAGGTCTATCTCCAAACCCAGCACCCCGGCCTGCCTCAATCGTACTGTCCTGGGTTCTGCACCCCTGGTTCTGGCCAGATCGGGGTGGAATCAGGCCTCCTGGAAACAAGCAGAGCTTCCTGATGGTGGGGGAGACGTCAGGAGGCTCCCTACTTGCCCCTTCCAGCCCTGGTCCCCACAGATCCCACCCCTTTCCAGCCCTGAGAACTGGGGCCGCTGAAGCCTCGGGGAGAGATCTCTGCAGGCCTGGCCCCTGATGGCAGAGGTGTGGAGCTCAGGTTCAAATCCTGGCCCCACCACAGTTATGGTCCAGGTCCCCAGGAAGCAGCTCTGACATGATTATTAGGATCCCTGGGATCAGCGCTGGTGGGAGGGCAGGGAGGATGCGGGACAGGGCAGGGGAGCAGTTGAGCTGCGATGCAGTCTCAACAGAAGCCTTAGCTGACCCTGCAGGGAGCTCTGAAGATTGGGTGACCCTTCAAAGCTGCCCCTTGGGGGGAAAGAGGGCTGGGCCTTTATGCCCCAGTTATCGGATAAAGGCCACCCCAGGTAGTGGGCAGAACCTTGGGCAAGGTGGCTGTCATCAGCTGCAGCCAGCCCAGGCCGTGCAGGCAGCCCTCTCAGCAGCTGAGGGAAAGTCTTCCATTCCTAAAGGGACATCTGAGCGACGCAGCAACTTGCAAAAGCAACTTGACCTCTGTGCCTCCATTTCTTTATCTGCAAACGGGTTTAAGAGACCATCTTCATAAGGTTGTTTGAGGATGAAATGAGATGATACGTACAAAGTACCCAGAGCAGGGCTTGGCGTATAGCAGCAGCTCAGCCAGTGTTAGCTAGCGTCATTATTTTTATTTATAAGGTGAGGCAGTGGAGAATAGGTTCAGAGTTGGGCGCTGAAGTCCCCTGGTAGTGTTCCCTTCGTGTAAACGCAGATGATAACAGGACCTGCCTCATACAGTGGTTGGAAAGATTACAGGACATGGTGACAGTGTCTGGCACCTGATAACCCTCAACAGATGTTAGGTACTGCTGTTACAATTATTATAATTTGCCTCACTGCAATTACTGGTATTACCCCAAATGGGATGTGGGTGTGTATAGGGGGCAGGTGATGACTAAGTGAACCGAACATTCCTTAGGGGTAAACTCATTTGCGGAAAGGGCTCGGGACCGAGGGCAGCAGCATGACCCGGCCCTGTGTCCATGAAGAAAGTCTTGGATGCAGAGAAGCATCTCATAACAAGAGCAGAGGGATAAAGCACGAACTCTGCTTCAAATCCCAGCTCTGCCACTGGCGGTGTGATCTTGTACAAGTTACCTAACCTCTCTGTGCTTCCATTTCTTTATCTGTAAAACAGAGGTAATAATGATGAAACGTATTTCATAGGGTTGTTGAAAGGATTAACTATGTTAACATTTGTCATATGCTAGAACAATGCCTGGCACATGCAAAGCACTATGTATGTGTTTCTTTAAATAAACAAATGAATTAATAAAGTGACAGTACAGCAATCTATCAAATAACAAAAAGCATTTTAGATCGGCAGGGCCCCGATCACTGCTTGTCATGGGGTTGGTGGTCTAGTCTAGATTCATGCTCCAGGGTTCAAGCCCACAGCGCTCTGACTCCAGAGGCCATGCTTACCCACTGCAGACACTGCCCAGTACAGGGATTACATTCCTGGGCACTCGCCATGCGCCAGGCGCTGGATAAGCAGGGGCATCCAACATCCCCTTTCATTCTTACTGCATCCTCACCACCCCTGCCGGTGGAGCCCTGGGCCGCAGAGGTTAAATGCCTTATCCAGGGTCTCACCGCTGGGGAGGGCAGAGCCTCACCTGAAGTCCGGGGATCCTGCCTTCCAGTCCAAAGCTCCCCTGACTTACCAGGGACAGGCCAGCCACCCAGGCGGCCACATTTGTGCTTATAGATTTTAAGTTCAGTGGGAACACAGTCACACCCTTTCCTTTGCACGGTGTCTCTGGCTGCGTTTAGGCTATGGCAGCAAAACTGAGGGACTATGGCAGAGACCACATAGCCAGCATGCTGAAACACACGGTCCTCTACAGAAAATGTCTGCTGACATAAAACGTCTGCTGACCCTGGGCCGGCCGAGTGGCGCGATGGTTAAGAACTCGCTTGGGATGCCAGAGGGCCCCGGTTCGGATCCCACATATGAGGGCCAGTGACACTGCCCTCC